TTTTTTTTTGCTCATTTACAATTCCGCCAAATTTCCGGTTCATTTGTTAGTCAGCGATGTGCACTGTCTGTCAGGAGATGCCTTAAGTCCAGCTATATTGACATCGCCAAGTTTGCTCTTCAAGCGCACTCTCCGTGCGGAACAACGTCTTTGCGTACGAACCTATGTAACACACTAATCAAACAGAAATAATCTGCAGAGAGCGTCAAAAAGTGGCGTAGCGTAGCACGATGTTGAGCTGTAGCGGTGCATCATTCGCTGCGTCAAAGAAGTGCGCTGACAAGTTGTATTCTTCGTGGACGGGACTCAATTTGTCGTCGACGACGTGTATGCCTCGATGAACAGCTGATTTCGTCTGCCGCAAATCGTATTTGCAAGTGCATTCCACGGGCCCGGGGGCTGTGAATAACAAACAAGAGAGAAAGCGTGAACAAGCGGTAAATACATGGCGACCCAGAAGAGAACGATGAGATTGAGCGCGAGGTGCGTGAGAGCATAAATTGCGTCTTGAGCAGTTCGTTGGCCGCCGGGGAATTCAAAATCCGTACCTCAATGAGATGTGCGAGAACTGGTATGAAAGCGCAACGTTTAATGATATTGCTTCCTGCCAAATGTCTACCGGCCATAATCCTTAAATACCCTAGTCTGTTTCCGCTACCAAGTACATGAATATTTTTTATGCCATTTATACGCAAAGCACCTAACCATGCTACCTATCACATAATTTGTACTGCCCTTTTGACATTCTGCTAATAAGAGAAATAGCGCTGAACAGAGTAGTCCTTTCTCCACTAAACGAAAGCATTTCTCATCTCTTGTAAAGGTGGTGCGCGATAAGTTCAAAACAAGTATAATTCTAAATGAAAAACCTATCCCATCTGACACTGAAACAATGCCTTCTCTAAAAATGATTTGACTGAAGTATGTGGTGGCTTGTGAGTTTCAGGTAAGCTAAAGTCAAATCTGGCACAATGAACTAGATGTCTGACAGCTAAGGTATGGAGGATTGACAGGGTTATGAAAATCGAACCGCAGGCTGTGTATTCATGTATGAAATTACACTTTTTTGTGTTCTAGGTAAGGCGTCGATTAGCCTTACAAGCCGACTCATGGAAAGGAGCAAGCCCAGCGGTGAGCACTCGTCCCCACCGATCTAATTTAGCCCTACGACTACAAACAGCTATGAACTTACAGGTAATCGCATCCTGAATACTTCTAAAAAACTGCACAGGCTTACAAATTTACAAAAAAATGCTTTGCTATCCCATTGCTCCACCCAGTTTAGAAAGAACATGGATACCTTGACTCTTCTCGGGTTTCACTATTTGCCTTTCTTAAACGAGGAAAAGGCTGAAAACTTGAGTTCTGCATCTTACTCGAGTACATGCAGCTCTTGCAATTTTCTAACTTTTATTATTGAAACTCTCCTCTGCTTTTATAAATCTTAGCTCACAGCAATTTGAAAAATTTCCCATACGGAAAAA